CTTCTCTTTATCATTTTAGACCCTTTTGCCTTTTTAACTTTATATGTAGCTTTATCTCTAAATTCCAAAGTCTTATTTTTTTTAAAAAACTTAAGCTTACTGCCATGGAGTTAATTCCAACTCAAAACAACCCGGAACAAGGCAGGGCTATCTGTTGTTTTCCGAGACTGTACCTCTTTAAGGCAATAGAAAGTTCACTTTTCTCTTGCTGAGTGGCTGGTGGTTTTGAACTGATGGCCTTGCTGTTAGAAGACCAGCAGCTACTTCGATGCCACCAGCACTCCTTTTCAAAGTCCGATAACTTCTCTCAACTATCCTCTTGATAGTTGTCAAAATCCAATCGTCAGTCTGCAGAAAATAACTCTTTTCTCTCTCCTGTGTATATTTTACCAATTACTATTCTCATAGTAATTGGAATCTTGGGTTACTCTCATTCCTACTCTCTCCCCATGCTAATGAAACCATTGATGGCCAAGCTCTTAAAATTCTACACTGGGTGAAGATCTCTTGGCATATGCCCATTTCTAAATTTCTAATGTTCATAACTGAGTGCTTACTACCTTTTCAACTGAAGTAAACAATATATTTATGCTTTTGGCCTCTTCCTGATATTATAGTCAAAATTTAATGTACCCAGTATAGCTTAAAAACATTTTTAATCTTAAAATGCTTTCAGTTCTTTGCTCACATATGAAAAGTTGCTTAGCAGTTACTTAAAGCCCTCCATTAATGCAGACTGAACCCAACAAGTTTACTTACCTTATCCCTGTTACCTTCTACTCACACACTGTATTTTTCCTTCAATAATGCTTTCCTGATTCATACCATTCCTTATCAAATGCCTTCTTTTTAAACTACATTCTCCTGAATGCTTTAGTAGAATTGCCTGTAAAGACTATTATACTCATTCCCCCTAAGCTAGAAAATCACCCTATCCCCATCTAAATTTCCATACAAACTTTATTATCTATCACCAAACTTACTGGTAATGCATCCATTAATTCCAAATGACAGGAATCCCATAGGACAGAGAAGAACTAACTGCTCCTGAATTTGTAAGGACTCTTTATCTTTATGGAGACAAACAGCTGAATCTTTCTCCCACAGAGGGGTTTAGTGAATTTGAACTACTGTCTCCATACTTAGCCCACAGTGCCACCAGGGGGTTCTGTTACTCATCTTTCTTATATTGTAGATTCTTATTTACATTATGAAGACAGGAAACATAATGTGTTGCTTCTATGTAGTTTTAGCTATTGGAATCTTAAAAAGTAAAATAATGTAAAAACTTCATAACATCTTAAAATATTGTCAGTTCAAGCTGTTATAAAGAAATTATATTATGTCTAATATAAATTAGACATGTCTAAAAAATTCTAGGTAGATTTGCTTTCAGAGTTACATAGTGTATGTACTTTTAAGCATTGTATCAATCTGCTCCAATAGGACAATTAAAATAATTCTTACTAAACTGTGATTTACTATATTGAAAAAATAAGAGAATTAGTTCAAAGATAAGCTATTTAACCAAGTTACATAGTCTTTAGAAGATAGTGCTTGATGATGTATACTAAAGATATTTTACTAAACAATTTTAGCCCCCAAACCATTTGAAAAGCAGACCTCTAAGGAATGGTAACAGCATGAAGTTTTATCTTAATTTTGTTTAGTTTAGTGCTTTCCTTATATTAAGCTTAATTTCCTTAGCAAAAGACCACCAATTTACCTTACACCAGAAACGAGATCAGATGGTAACACTAAGGGATGAGTATGAAATGAGGTGAATTTTTAATGCTCTGAAAAGCTTATTATATATGTACATTGATTTGTATCAATTAAAGTATTCAAGATTAAATTATAGAAGATACTGTTATCTCGTTCTCCCCAAGAAAAACTACCCATGTAAAAAACATTAACTCAGAGTAGTATTTTGTCCAAAATACGCAAGGTATTTATTTGGTTTCAATTCAGTCTAGCCACATAAAACCCATGAGGTAGGGCTACTGATTTAGTAAGCTGTAGTTATCACTCCTTACAGAACAGTGAAAATGAAATTCAATATTTTGCCAGATCATGTAAAATCTAGTCTATATGAACTTAGCAGGGGTAATGTAGCGTTCCGGAGTAGATTCCAACTAACTCCTAATGACACTCTTAAGGGTTTCTGAGGATGCAAATCTTTACAGGAACAGAAAGCCTTATCTTTTTTACCCATGGAGCAGCTGGTCAGTTTAAACGCCAAACACAACAGTACAATGCTTGACTGACAGTACTATTAGAGTTCATGGAATATATTGTTGAGATGAAAGACTTTCAAATCAGAAGGAAGAGACAATTTTACCTCTGTAACACAATTTTAAAGAGTAAATTAAAAATTCTTAAGTCATGATTTCATAGTTAGCTTTAGTCAACAGTCAACTTCTATTGCTATCATGTGGACAATATATGCTTAGTATTTTAAATGGAACTGTGGTTATATGATAAAATGTTACAGTACATTGATAAAACTTTCATTTACATTTCGAATTAACATTTAAAAATATTTACGACAATTATTATCAAGCACCCAAATACTCACTTTATAAAGTGTAGAAGAAGATCAGTAACAAACTTAGCAGATTTTACAATAGGGCTTCCAGGCTCATTAAATGTCCGGGTATTATGCTCAATGTATCGTACTTCCCACATGAGGGAAGAAACCCGCCTTTAAAAGAACAAGAACAGACGTCTTTGATTTCATTATATTCACACAAAATTTAAAACTGACACGGACTTTCACATACATCCCATTCATTTTCAAAATGATATAACCTACTTGTGGTAAGGTCAACATGAAGAATAGCATTGTGTATTTGCATAGGTAATAAATAGTGTTTCCTAAACCAGACTCTTAGGAAACCATGTGTAGTATAGTAGTAAGAGAATAGAAATAGAGGGAGTTTTGACATTACGTATTTCATACTATCATTCTCATTAACCCTAAGAATTTACACAAAACTAAACAGTTTCAACCAAGTTATATTTCCAAGTACTTAATGATAAGAGCCCCTTTCTCTCTTCTTCCATGTCTGTATCCATATGTGAAGCACTCAGTGTACCTTTTAAGGGTACTGGGAGAAAAAAGGGTTTTAGCTAAGAATTTCTTCCCTTCAGCTACCAACATATGGTGATTAGACATACTTGAATTATGTTCTGGGGCTAGGAAAAATAGAAATATATGGTAAGTGATCACTTCTTTTTAAAATAGCTAGCAATATTAAAATAGCAGAAATACCTAGAAAGACCATAAAACCATGATCGTATGCTGTCTAGTGTCTAAGCCTCTTTGTTCCAGTGGTTCTCAACAAGGGTGATTTTGTCCCCCGGGGTCACTTCTGTCTGTCACAACTAAGGGGCTGCTACAGATCTATCACAATATTCTGGTCCCAGACGTCACTAATGCGGTCACTGAGAAACCTGCTTTAGTCATTAAAATATGCACTGAAAATCCCCTTCAGTTCTAATGAAATACTACTCAAAATGTTAACCTTATGAGAAGTAGGAAAATTAGTATAGTTTTGTTTTTTGTAAACTGATAGACAAAACATTTTAATCAATAACCTAGAAAACTTGTTCAAAATGAAAACTTCCATATTTATCAAAATTCTACACAAAATGCAAAAATCTTGAAATTATGTCTACTTTTAAAACTTGTTATATTTGAAGCAAAAATTACAACTATGAAAAATACCGTATATACTCGTGTATAAGCTGAGTTTTTCAGCACATTTTAAATGCCATTTTCTTGTCGTAACATTAGGTGCCTTGGCTAATATTAAGGGCGGCTTACACTCAAGTATATACGGTACCTGGATTTTTAAAAAAGTTTAAAATAAAATGATTTTCACTTTTTCTTAACATAAATAAAATTAAAAACCCTATTTTAAAAGTATTCAAATTAAAATCAACACACATTTTAATGGGGTACCTAGAAGAAAATCAATGTTTTAGCTTGCTTTTTATAAAATACAATTATGAAACAACATCAAAGCATATTATCAGTAACTGAAGAACTGTACCTAGGAGCCATATTTCCCACATCACTGGGAACTTGTTAGAAATGCAGAATCTCAGGTCCAACAACACACAATCAATTTCTGCATTTTAACAAGATTCTGCGGTAATTCTGAAACATATTAAAATTTGAGACACACTGCAAAAGAAGATCAGTAAATGGGCACAAGGATTATTTAATTTTCCTTTGGCAGTAGCTACATTAACTGGGTCTAACCTGTAAAACCTGTTTTCCAGTCTTTGTTTAATTGTACTTAGATCCGTTGGATATGCCACTACAGTGCAATACATGGGATAGGCTTGCAGATCCACAGGGGCCACAAATGCAGAAGCAATATCTAAAATAAATGAATGAATGGTTTAATGCTTAAGATAATTCAAGGAGAATTTGCTTGAATTAAGATCTAATAAGTTCTAATCCATACAAACATTAGTCGGCCCCTGTCTTTTCACAGGAAATTCTGTTTAGCTGATATGACCCCTTTTTATTATTTTATACTGTAAAATCCTAGGGATATTTAATAAATTTGTGTGGAGAAAGAGATGACAGTTACCACGATAACACCGGGCATTTATATCTAACTTTTGATTTTCTCAAAATTTACATTACAAGGGGGCTGGGGAAAATTTGTGGCAAATTCTGCTACCTTTTGACTTTTCCACAACCTTTTCAAAGCTCTCTCATATTCTGAGAATTATCAGACAGAGAGGAGGAATCAAATACCAATGTTAAAACAACTGAGAAACTGATGGTGGTTATTTCCCTTTTAAAAAAGGAAACTAAGCAGTTCATACAACCTCTTTCTACAGTATTAAAAAAAACCCTTTTTTTCCTTTTTTACTTTTTTAATTCAGTGTTCAACTCCTTCCTCCAATTCCCATTATGTTGGTTTGAAATACGTCAAGGGGTGTCAAATTGGGTTTTGGAGGACCAAGATTTTTCAGAAGTGCTGCTAGAATTTCTGGGAAACCTCACTAAAATTAAACCAGAGTAACGGCACTCAAAATTATTTAAGAAATTTGAATACTGGGTAATAACAAAAAACCAAAACATTCTATGTAAAACACAATTTATAGTATATGTCTTTAACTAGTTTGCATAGTGCCTCAAATTACAATTGAGATAACTTAGTAACATTTTCCTTTCAGGATTCATATTGCCAAGAGTTTCTAATGCATGTGTTGTGACGTACCTAGTGTCATCAGTTGGTTTATTCCGGCAACAATTCTTTCACATTCTTCATCCCTGGGATTGGAACCCCACTCTCCATCAAGAGGTTTATAGATTAACGATCTGCATTCAGTATCAGTTAAAGGAACGCTGGTACCTAATTCTTCAGGAAACACAGCTGAAAGACAAAAAAATTTGAAGGAGTGAAAGACACAGGCGATTTAGTTAAATTTTAGTACCTTTAGAATATAGAAAGTTGTTGCAAAGTTAAAGTATAAAGCACACTCTTAATTTTTCTTAAAGGCAGGCATATTTCAAGGATCAGTAAAATTTAAAGATTTTTTAAAAGCTAGTAACTTTTTGAAATCTGTAGATGAACATTATTACTTCAATTACGGAAAACTTGCTCCACAATCAACTCAAAGGAGAAAATATTTTTATGCAACACTAACAAGTTTTCTCAAACAATTATTTCAACTGCATTTTTTTTAAAGTAGGAAGAGAATAATGAATACTGACAGATGATGCTTAGCCTGCTACTATTAAGTGAAGAAGGTAGTGTGGTAGTGACATAATTGCATGTCAGCTTTTACATATCTTAAAGTAGGGTTCCTCAAACTTTTTAAACGGGCCAGTTGGAGGGCTGGATTAATAGTTAAAAACAAAAACCAAACTATGAACAAATTCCTATGCACACTGCACATATCTTATTTTGAAGATAAAAAACAAACGGGAAAAAACACCCAACGGGCCAGATAAATGTCCTCCATGGGCCGCAGTTTGAGGACACCTGTCTTAAAGTGTAGGGGTGGGATTTACCTTCAGTGAGGTCACAGCCTGAAGGTGACTTCCTTGTGCTCATGGCCTTTTCATAAAAAGGGTCTTGGGAACCACCTATTCTCTCTGCTTTCACGTTCCTGCTGGCAAGCCACTCTGAAACCAGCCAGAGCGCTATGATTCCACCACCACTGGAGCCACACGAATTTGTACCCACTGGTCTGAGATAATTACTGCATTTTGAATCACTGCATGTGGCTGCTGTGTGAGTCTGAAAAGGGACTATATTGGACTAAAGAACTTGATTTGGAATGGGCTGGGATGTTTTCTTGAACTAAAGCTCTTCCTTATACATGAGTGTCACTAAATTTGTTTCTTTAGTCAACCCAACTTAACACAATAAACTTTCTGTGTCTACATCTTTATTACTAGATGATTGTGGTACGTACAAAAATTGTACCTTTTTTCCCATTGAACTAGAATAAGAAACATTGGAAGAAATTGTTTTCAAAATGTTGACAGCAACATATGTACAAGTTTAGAAGTGTATTAATAGTATTAAATGGTTTCTAAGAGAGCCTCCTCAAATAAAAACATTGGAAATAGGCCATTATTTAAATAGCTACATAAATTCTATGCATGTATGTGTATACAAATACAACAAACCCACCATTCATCTTCCCAAAATGACACTTTTAGGTAAGAAATCAAAGAGTAAATGAGCTGAGCTATTACTTCATGTAAGTCTAGAAATGAATTAGTGATAGCAATGCATCAACATTAATATCCACAAGAAACCATTTAACAGAGAAATAAGAACTGAAAGTAAACCAGGAAAAGTTAGTACAAAATGATAGTTGTTTTGAACTATTAAATTTTTTAAGTCATTTTTGAAAGGTTAAGAAGTAGTTAATATCGGCATAACCATTTTCAGTAACGGTACAACTAATTGCACAAGTCAAATTGCGTTCCTAAACTTTATCTGATTTTTATATTAAAAATAAAAAAGATAAACATATTCATGCACACTGTACTTTTAAAAGTATGGAATAAATATAATTTCCTGGTGGCTTCTGTAGCACTGTACCTGAAAACACTGTATTTCATGACTTAAGTTGAACTCCATTACAACTACCTTTGCACTGAGATATAACGTGTCAGGTTCTATAATAAGCAGCTTACATGTTTCACCCTTTACAGAAACCCAATAAAGTAGCGGTTCTCAAACTGTGGGTGGCGACCCCTTTAGGGGTCAACCCTCTCATGGGGGTCACCCGATTCATAACAGTACCAAAATTAGTTAGGAAGCAGTAACAAAAATAACTTTATGGTTGCGGGGGTCACCACAACACGAGGAACTGAATTAAAGGGTCACGGAATTATGAAGGTTGAGAACCACTGCAAAAAAGACTATCACACCACTTCAAAGACTGAGTCCTAAGAACCTTGGTTTCAAGGAATTTGCGAAGATCACATAGCAAGAATAGACAATTATGTGAATTATTTTGTTGAATTACAACATATCTTTTTGATCAAGTAATCACTATGTCTATGTAAATAATAAAATTAAGTGGGCAGATTTTATTTATAAAGTTCACTGGGGTACCTCCTTAATTCTGGGGCAAAGAGATGTGCAAAACATATTTGAACATTGTCTAGCAAGTGAGCGACCGGATCTTTTTATATAAAATCTTATGCTAAATCAAAGGTTAATGCTGTATTATTACAGACCAAAAAATTAATACACACTTACCATTATTAGGTATAACTTCCATATCCCAAGGACTCATCTTTTCTGTATCTCCATTGTCCCAGCTTAGAGTGAAAAAAAAAAAATTTAAAAAGAAAACCTGAATAT